GACATTTCTCTGAGCTAGCCTCATCTCACTGTCAACTTCAAGTTCTTCAAAGTTTCCTCAACATTACTATAAAACTTTAATGATTTAAGCAATAACTTCACAGAAACTGCAGTGATCATAATTTCTGCCTTGAAACATGAGTGAAATAAACTAGATTGTTTGAATTTTACCTATCTCTTAAACCAATTTGTTGGTAGTAAAGTGGATAACTAATATAAACACTATTTTATAACAAGGAGCCATGCCAGAAAAATACTATGTATTGGTGATGTGCACCAAACAAGAACAAATACTTGAGAGAACTCTGAATTTCCATTTTGTTTCACTTTTTTAGCTTGCAACTATTTTTAGATCTAGAGAGAATTTCGAAAGAGACATGCCAGAAATAAATATCCGACTCTTAAGCCATACCATGATTATATCTGATTAATTTTGGTGCAAGTAATTGACATTCAGAAAACTAGATAATAATTCTAAGAGATAGCATCTCATAAAGCTCATCTCATAAAGCATTTATTTTTTATTTCAAGAAAAGCTAAAATTTTTGCAGAAGTATAATAACGATTAAGGAAAAGATTATTTGATAACGACTTACCAAAAAATGCTTCCAACACAATACTGCACAAATGATCAGAAGAACTTTCCGAATCCACCTCCATTTAAACCAAACACTAAGCCTCACATTGCTTGTCAAGTCAAATGATTCACGCCTCTTATTATTGTGGTCATAATCATCTTCTTTCTTTGCTAAAAGAGAGATGAAATGGTACCCATAGACTCCTCTTTCAACAGCAAAAGCAACCATGATGAAAATAGCAGGGTAAACCACAAACAGAAGATGGGAAAGAACCACAACCAGGATATCTGGAGAACCAATATATCTATGTTTGTTCGTTTCATTTGAAGTTTTGACCACCCATCCCATACAGGTCATGTATCCCCAGTCCTTTCCATCCGTGAAGACTTTCCCAATAAACCATGGAAATGCCATAAGGTAGATTAAGTAACCTACTATGCAGAACCATAACATGGGAACCTTGCTAATCTCCTGTATAACCCATGCCATGCCATTTAGGAAGCTTTTATTCACCTTGAAATTGTTGTAAGTGTATTGCTTCTTTGAAAAAATAAGAATCACTTTTGGAAGAATAAGCATTGAGAGCATGATAAACAGAGCTGACCAGAGTACAGGGAAATATAGGGCTGCCCATTGAACTCCCATAACCCTGAACTCATTCCATGTCCAGGACACTTTTGCAGTGAGACCATTGACAGAAAATGGCCTCAATACAGATAAAGTTGACCTTCCTGCAATGTCAGTTGCTTCTATTTGCAGATAATATCTATCAGGAGATGGGTCTTCAAAGGCTTTGTAATTCCATGGAGCAGTGTAAAGAGCTCCTCTTGAGATGTTATCTACACGCGTTCTACTCATAGGTGCTTGTAGGATCAAACTGAGAGTTCCAGGATTAGAGTCATATATTCTAGCCTCCACAGATACAATAGGAGAAATAGAAAAAACAAGTGCTCTTATCAAAGCTGAAGTGGCCATCTCATGGCATTTATATTCATAAGCGAACGAAGATCTTGACATGAAGCGTGAATCTAATGGAAATGTAGGCAACAAAATAGTTTTATTACTTTCAGTCTTGAAGTCAATGTCAACATATGACACGTGACCTCGATCAATGGCCAAAACTCGCATGGCCCTACTCTTTCTCCAGTCACCCATCTCCCACTCCCAGAATTCTTGAACTGGTGGAACTTTAACCGAACAGTTGGTAATATTTCCAGAAGATACTTGGTGCAAATTAAACTGGAAAAACTTCCGTGACAAAAAACTAGAATTTGAATGATGATGCCTCTTCAAATTTTTGCCAAACCTTGTATGGAGATGCCCGCATAAGTAAGCTGATAAAGAATGTTTCAAAAATATATCTCTCAGACTCTTTCCTGAGAGGGAGGAAGCTGAGAATGAGAGAGGAAAATGCCCAAAAGAAATCTTAGTTACTGGATCAGTTGTCAATGAATCCCATTGAGAGAGTTCCAAATCTAAGTCAGTTAATAGCTGATCAGTTGGATGCCCAAAGACATTTGATGGGCCTCTCAAACCAACGGACATGGTGCTGTCAAATCCAACAAAAAGGTACTTATGTTGACCAGCCTGAATGATGAAACAAAATAATCTATTAATGAGCTGCTCTTTAGTCAAGTAGTCAAGTAGCCAATGGCAGGTATTTGCCCTTGCAAAATTTCACATGAACCTCTGCATAAATGTGTGTGTGTGTGTATATATATATACTAAAGACCTAACGCAATGTAAGAATAAATGGGAACAAATAAATAAATAAGAACCCAAGAAGAGCCATGTTGCATGAACGACCCCATATTGCATTTGTACCAAGTTAGGTTAATTAATTTCCAGTTCAAATGATGAGGATAATCAAATCCCGATTAACCCAAAAGAAAAAAAAAACAAAGTAAACCTTTTACTTCTCGAACGTGATTGTCCAAATTTCATGGACAGTTTGACTGCTCATTTCTATCCCCAAAAAATTCAACTTAAAAGGATAACGAAAAAAGTAGCATATTTCTATACCAAAATATTCCATAAATAGACATGGTAGTTCGCTTGAAAAACATTAATTTGTTATTTTGGGATTTGTTTTTGGAAGAGAGATTACCACAGGATTATCTAACATGCCATAGTAAAATTTAAACATTCTTCTGAAATAGGTTTATAGGATAATAGGGGATGTTGGAAGGTCAAATATTTCATGTGCTTGGAAAAGAGAGTTCAATCATTCGATGGGGCTTTCCGATCTAAATAGTTTTTCCATAACTAAGACCTGAGAGGACGTATTCTCCTCAGGCTATAAAAGGAGGACGATATTAGAACCATGATATTACAAGTACATGTACTCACCACATACCTCATCAAAAGATAATAACTAACCTGAGCAGTGACACTAAACACATTTGCATTTCTGCCCAGCTGTCCACTGATGCTATAGTTTGAAAAGTAATCAAATGAGCCACCAACGGATGGAACACCAAATTTATCATGATTTCCTCTAAGGTCAAAGAAGATGCTTTTGTCTAGTCCACTTCTTGTTATAACCTCTTCCATTACATTTTGATATTCCATCCATTCCTCCTCAATTTGTATCATGGTTAACAAGTCCTTGCTTTTTCCATCTGATAAATACAAGAACAGTCTCAAGGGTTATAATTTTTTCGTTTGGACATCGTTTATGACTTCTACACTAAGTATTAGAAAGATCAAGGTTCTAGACTTGGAAGGGTTGGCAATGTTAATAGCATAGCTAGAGTCCATATTCATTAGCCCTAATTTTTGCCACAAATAACAATAACAACAACAAAAATTATAATAAAAGAATTGTAAGAAGCTCATGTATCCACATTAAGGGCTATAATTTTTTCAGATAAGTTTAACTTTTTTTATTACTTTTGAGCCCTTGTACAATTCACCACCTCTAATTGCCAAAAATGATTCAAATGAAAAGGCATTCTGCTGCAACTCACAGAACATTCAACGTATGTTGCTTTTGCTCTAGAGCAAAACAAGTTATCACAAGGACCCAGAACGCTAGTTATGTTTAGCCATCATCAAAAGACAGAAATCAACCAGAAGAAATGGCAAGAAAATTTCCAATGAAAGCAATTGAAAATTATGATTTTCCACAATCTGAAAATTTATGCAGACCCCGACACCACGTAATGGCTCTAGAGGTATAATACTATGAAAAATTTACAAAAATCAAACAAATAGCAGAACGTTTTAAGACAAAAACATCTGATTATATGCACATCATGCAATTAAAAGAACAAGAATGAGCTAATTCGACATAAAATCAAAAAATAGAGAGAGAGCGGAACCTGTAAGATCACCCGTGATAAGAACCAGAGAAGGATTGATCATGGCAAGAGCAGGTCCCACGAAATCCCTGAATTGGAGAGCTCTGTCCGGATGGTGAACACTGAAATGGAGATCAGAGAGCTGAACCACCCAAATTACAGAATCAGGTTCTCCCTTCGCCTCCACGATTTTCCTGTTGTTCCAATAATTGGGTTTCGAATGAGAGAATCCGCCCGTTTCTTCATCTCCTGCTTGGAGAGAGGGAACGGCGAAGCAAAGTAATATCAAAACAAAGATGTTCATACTTCCTCCTCTCTCCGGCATAATTTCGCTCCTTCAGTCTTCCAAACTCATAATTCCGGCAAGGAGATCTTATTTGGAGGCTTAGTAAAGCTAGGAGGGAAACTAGACTTCGACCCACCCACCCCTCTCTTTTTAAATATTATAAAACTAGACCATATTTTTTCTTCTTCCAGCGTCTAAACTTTAAAAAATATCGAGACACTAAAATAATGTAGCTTGTAAGCCCGAGTCTATAAGATATTTTTTCCTCTTTCCAGTTCAGGTAGGGTTCGATGTTGGTACTTCCCCACACACGGCCCACGCATGCACACATGGAACTAGTAGGCACGCTCGTATACGTACCCCTAGGTCTGGCTTTATCGAGCTAAACACGCTAATGTGTCGCTAGACACCATAGAGTAAAAGGCTCACATGATATCATGATGAACAAGAATATCGAAGGTACACATCTGTACTAACATAACATAACGAGGAAATATCCTAATGCACATGACATTGATAAATGCATGAGGTCTCCATAGCTTAAAATCATAGCATATAATAAGAATCATTTCGTTTTTCATTTCATTCATGTCATAGTACACATATGAATCATGTATGAATAGTACTTATCATGACTTACATTGTAAGGACCGGTTGACGCGATGGGTCTAAAAGACGGATAAATTTTTTCCTTCTTGATAAAACCATTAAAATTTAGAGCATAATTTACATTATACCAAAATAGTGTGTGCACATTAGTAATTTAAAATACAACATAATAATTAAAAGACAGTATAAGGAACCGACGCAAACATTTAAAAACAAAAGAGTTGAGGATGACGGGTGAGGTTAGTCTATGGCACCTGCTCCAGAGTCTGCTCCCGACCTCGACCAGCTCCTTATCACCTGGAAAAAAATGGAGAATAAGGAATGAGTACAAGACTCAGTAAGTAGCCTACTTATAGGCTCTTAATTGTGTCCTTGATATGCTAGGGTACCACATTCTTTATTCTTGCTTGTTCTTATCGTAAGTACTTAGGCCCCTCTAATTCTTGTTCTTGACTTGGGGTTCTTATCTTGATCTTTCTTGAGGACCTTGGTCCTTGAATCCTAAAACCTTGGTTTTTCTTTAAGGGCCTTAGTACTATGATTTTTGGTTCTTGGTCCTTTGTTCCTAGTTTTGGTTGGTCCTTGTTCTATTCCTTGATCTTTCTCTTGTTCTTGGTACTTTCTTGGTTCTTGTTCTGTTCTTGATTCGTTCTCCAAGACTCTCCCCCTAGGATTTACGGCACTAGACATGCACCTGACAATCCTGTGTCCAAGGCTTCATGCGTTCCAAGCGACGTAGTCTTACTGCATCTTAGGACTTGCCCTCCGATACGGTCTGCTTAATCCTATGCCCAAGGCTTCATGCGTTTCAAGCGGCATAGTCTGAAAACCTACATCCAAGGCTTCTTACATTCCAAGCTATGTAATCTTAATACTGCATCAAGGGCTTGCCCTATAATACAGTCTGCTTAACCTATGCCCAAGGCTTCATGCATTCCAAGCGGTATAGTCTGAAAATCTACATTCAAGGCTTCTTACGTTCTAAGCGATGTAGTCTTAATACTGCATCAAGGGCTTGCCCTATAATACAGTCTACTTACCTACGCTCAAGGCTTCATGTGTTCCAAGTAGCGTAGTCTAAGTCATGAGCATGTTGTACCGTGGGAGGTCTTAGGAGGTTCTTGATTCGTGGCTAAGGTAACTTACTCTCTTCTTGCTCCTCCGTGACCTTAGACTACTCCCCTTAATAGACCATAAAGGTCACTTGCTCGGTGCATACTTAAACATGGCATCCTGCAAGTCTGCAGGGCATCTCTTCTAGATGAGGAAAACTTGGGGCCTGCAAAGGAAACATGGTGCAGGGCATCCTACCTAGAAGAGGAATTATTGGGCACCACTTGGTGGGAGGTCATGGGTCACTTTGGACATGACTAAAGTATTTCCTAGCATTCTTGAGTTCCTTGTGTTTGGGGACCGTGTTTGGGGACCTTGGTCCCTCGTCCTTGAGTGGTACCTAACATTCTTCTTACTTGGGTAGATGTAAAGCTTGTGTGTTGTTGTTCTTGGTTCTTAATCTTGTAAGTTTCTAAGGTCCTTAATTTCTTGAGGCATAAGTTGTAACTTGTATTTGTAACCATATGAGCCCATCTTAGTGTAAGTTGTTCTAGAAGGTCATAGATTCCTAGGGAGTTCTTTAGAGGGTTCTAGAAGAGTCTAAAGTCTTGTGGTGTTTCCTTTATGTGTTTCTTGGATCCTAACTTGGTTTAGGTTTCAAACTTACTCCAATCAACTTGAAACCTCAAACTTATCTTCATGTCCTTCATAATCGACCTTATAACAAGTAGAAAATCATTTGGAGCACGTATAGACCTTGCAATCTTTGAAGTAATCCTAGGGGCATTTTGGTCATTTTACACCTAATTCTTAGTTTTGCTACTTAACGTGTTCCAATGGCTTTCAAACTTCACCAAATCATCAAAGATCATAAAATAAGATCTACTTCAGGGTTTTGTAGCATTTGGAGGTCATCTAGGTCAGGAACCGTAGGTAGATATCCTCAGGTGGCTACTTACCTCGTTGTCGACGTTCGGGACCTCCGTTCTTGAGCTTTTGGTACCCGAATTACCTCAACTTTCCTTTCACAGACTCCTTATTGTGTTTACTTTCTGAAACCATAAAGGTTTTCATGAGAACCGGTCTAGAAGGAGGTTAAAATTGAGAAAAACTGAGGAAAGGTTGAGTTTTGGGTTGACATGGCCGGTTCAACTGAACCGGCCACGTCATCGATGCACGCGACCGTTCGCGCCGCCGTCTGAAACTCGCCCTCCCCAGCTCCTATCACACCGTTTCTTCCCTTGATTCCTTCATGAAACTTAAAGAGGGTGTTACAAGGAAGAGCTAGGGATTAATTTCATACCTTCTCATCGATCGTAGCCTAAGATATTTGCTTCCAACGTTCGTCCAAAATATGATTTCTCGCCGAAGTGAAAACAGAGGATTTCTTATTGAGTAGCCGATTATAGGGGTTTTCGAGGTTCGATTTCTTCACGAAACCTCTTTCTTATTGTTCCCTCAAGCTAAAGGAATTGGTTTGGAGGAAGGACTTTGAGTGTGACACCTTAATTTTGAGAAATCACTCTCGGTCTGCAGGTTACCCGACACCTCCGATTTTTGATCTCTTGGTTATCTTGTTCTACGACGTTTCAGCTCTTGATTCCTTCATCAAAGTTACTCATATTCTTTCAATAAAGCTAAAGGAATCCTTAATTTGAAGGAAAAGGTCGTAGGTAGGAATTCGACACTTACCCCCAATTTGAACCCGAAACGAATTTTCTTCAATTGGGAACTGTTAAGGATAGTTACTGTTCATTATAAGGCAAGTATCTAGATATTTGCCTTACACTACGACTTACCATATTTGCCTTTTAAAGGCAAATATATTGTATTCCTTTATTATTCTTTCCTTTTATTGTAATTTCCATATTATTTGTAATTTACCATATTCTGTATTTTGTAAATGATTATAAATAAGAGAACTCTCACCCCCATTTAGGTGTGGTGGATTCAGCAAACATTTACATGGTATCAGAGCCCTTTCGGTTTAACAACCCTGATCCTTTCTTCTCTATGGTTTCCGAATCTTCTTATCATCTTCTTCCTTTCAATACTCTAATCCATATGATCACCATTAAACTTTCTTCCTCCAATTACCTTCTTTGAGTCAAGACATGCTGGGCTATGTTGATGGAACTATGGTTCCACCACCTCGCTTTGAACCAGAAACCTCCTCAACACTCAACCTCAAATATTTGATATGGAGAGCAGCCGATCAACGACTTCTCTGTCTCTTGCTCTCCTCTCTCATTGAGGAAGCCATTGCTGTTGTCGTTGGTCTCTCTACTACACGTGATGTTTGGCTTGTGTTGGAAACTACGTTCAGCCATCAGTCGAAAGCTCGTGAATTGAGACTCAAGGCTAACTTGTAGTTGATGAAACGTGGCACCAAACTTGTTGCTGAGTATGCCCGTGCCTTCAAAAAAAATTGTGACCAAATTCATGCCATTGGCAGACCCGTTGAGGACATTGATAAAGTGCACTGGTTCCTTTGTGGACTCGGCACCGAATTTTCAGCTTTTTCTACTGCTCAGATGGCTCTCACCCCTATCCCCTGTTTTGCAGATTTAGTCTCTAAAGCTAAAAGTTTTGAGTTGTTCCAGCGTTCCCTTGAGTCCTCTGACTCCACTCCTATAGCATTCACAGCCACTAATCGTGGTCGCACCCATGGAAACCACCCTACTTCCTTTAGTAACTAGCGAGATCGTTCTTATTTTCACAAAAACAACTCTTCTAATCGAGGACGAACCCACTCAGGTCAGGGTCGTCGACCACCTCACTGCCAAATATGCCGTAAAGAGGGCCATTATGCAGTCGCTGCAACCAATGGTATGTTCGACTTGATTCTTCTCATGCTCACCTTGCTGAAGCCTTTAACACGTCATGTTCTATTGTTGGACCCAATGCTGTTGATTGGTCTCTAGACATTGGGGCTTCGGCCCATATGACTGCCGACCCATCTATTCTAGATCAGTCTAAAAATTACACGGGTAAGGACTCTGTGATCGTAGGAAACGGTGCATCCCTACCCATTACCCACACCGGTACTCTTTCTCCTGTACCAAATATTCACTTATTAGATGTCTTGGCTGTCCCTCACCTCACTCAAAATCTTCTTTCCATAAGTAAATTAACATATGATTTTCCTCTCTCCGTTACATTTATTAATAATCTTATTACTATCCAGAATCGTCAAACAGGAAGAGTGGTGGCAACCGGTAAAAGAGATGGAGGGCTATATGTGCTGGAGTGCCGCAATTCTGCTTTTATTTCAGCCCTTAGAAACAAATCCTTACGTTGATTTATGGCATGCTCATTTGGGTCATGTGAATCATTATGTTATTTCTTTTTAAATAGAAAAGGTCATCTTTCTCTTACATCTTTATTGCCTTCTCCATCATTATGTAATACTTGTCAGCTTGCGAAAAGTCATCGATTGCCTTATTCCCGCAATGAACGTGGGTCGTCTCATGTGTTAGATCTTATTCATTGTGATCTTTGGGATCCTTCTCCCGTCAAATCAAATTCGGGGTTTCTTTATTATGTTATTTTTATTGATGATTATTCTCGATTCACTTGGCTTTACCCTTTAAAATTTAAATCTGATTTTTTTGATATTTTTCTTCAATTTCAAAAATTTGTGGAAAATCAATATTCTTCTCGTATCAAGGTATTTCAAAGCAATGATGGTACCGAATTACTAGTACTTGTTTCAAAACTCATTTACATAATTCTGGCATCCACCATCAATTCTCTTGTCCATATACACCTACTCAAAATGGTCGTGCTGAGAGAAAACATCGTCATGTGATTGAGACTAGCTTGGCCCTTCTCTTTGACTCTCATCTTTCTCCTCGTTTTTGGGTTGACGCCTTCAGCACTGCAGCTTATATTATCAACCGGTTACCTACTCCACTTCTTGGAGGTAAGTCACCCTTTGAACTTCTTTATGGCTACACTCCACATTATGACAATTTTCATCCCTTTGGTTGTCGTGTTTATCCTTATTTGCGTGATTATATGCCTAACAAGCTTTCTCCCCGCAGAATTCCTTGTATTTTTTTAGGTTATAGTCCTGCTCATAAAGGGTTTCGCTGTCTTGATCCCGCCACCACTAAGTTATATATCACCCGCCATGCTCAATTTGATGAAACTCACTTTCCTACTATCCCTAGCTCCCAGGCCCAACCTCTTTCTTCTATTCTTATTTCAAATTTCTTGGAACCACATCTTTATCATATTGATTCATCCCCCCCTACCACTTCATTATCGCACATTCCTCGATCCAGTTCATCCCCGTGTGATATTTGTTATGACCTTGTGGATGAGTCTGTGCAAGTTGATACTTCTCTTGCAGGTTTCACTTTGCCACCCTCGACTTCTAATTCGACCTCTATTGAACCTACTGTTGATTCCTCTTCTTTGGGCACTCATCCTATGAACACATGAGCCAAAGCTGGTATATTCAAAACTCGTCATCCAGCAAATCTTAGTATTTTTGGCTCATCTGGACTTCTTTCTACTCTTCTTGCATCCACTGAGCCAAAAGGATTCAAATCTGCGGTTAAGAATCCTGCTTGGGTGGCTGCCATGGATGAAGAAATTCGAGCGTTACAACAAAATGATACTTGGACTTTGATTCCTCGCCCTGCCAACACCAACATCGTGAACTCTAAATGGGTGTTTCGTATTAAATATTTGCCTGATGGATTCGTCGAGCATTTCAAGGCTCGTCTTGTTGCTAAAGGTTATACTTAGGTTCCTGGTCTTGACTACACTGACCCTTTTAGTCCGGTTGTCAAAGCTATCACTGTCCGTGTTGTGCTTTCCATTGCAGTCACAAATAAATGGCCTCTTCGACAACTTGATGTCAAGGATGCTTTTCTCAATGGAACTCTTATTGAACATGTTCATATGGAACAACCTCCTGGGTATATTGATCCTTGATCTCCCGCTCATGTTTGTCTATTAAAAAAAGCCCTCTATGGCTTAAAACAAGCTCTTCGTGCCTAGTTTCAGCGTTTTAGCTCATTTCTTCTCATACTTGGGTTTTCTTGCAGTCGCACTGATACGTCCCTTTTTGTCTTTCATCAGCAATCTAACTTTATCTATTTGCTTCTTTATGTTGATGACATTATTGTTACCGGCAACAACTCATCTCTTATTGACAGCTTTACTCGCAAGCTTCATTCTGAGTTTGCTACCAAAGATTTGGGTTCTCTTAGTTACTGTCTTGGTCTTGAAGCTTCACCCACTCCTGATGGTCTCTTTATTAGTCAGTTAAAATATGCTCGAGATATTCTTACTCGTGCTCAGTTGCTCGATAGCAAACCTGTCCACACTCCTATGGTTGTTTCTCAACACTTAACTGCTGATGGTTCTCCTTTCTCTGATCCTACTCTCTATAGATCTCTTGTTGGTGCCCTTCAGTACTTGACTATTACGCGTCCAGATATTGCCTATGCTGTCAATTCTGTTAGTCAATTCTTGCATGCCCCTACTGCAGATCACTTTCTTGCTGTCAAACATATTCTTCGTTATGTCAAAGGAACACTCCACTTTGGTCTTACCTTTCATCCATCCACTGTTCCTAGTACGCTAGTCGCTTATTCGGATGCTGACTGGGCTGGTTGTCCCGATACTCGTCGTTCTACATCCGGCTATTCTATTTATCTTGGTAACAATCTGGTTTCTTGGAGTGCCAAAAAGCAAACCTACTGTCTCACGCTCCAACTGTGAATCTGAGTATTGTGCTCTTGCCACAACTGCTGCTGAACTTCTTTGGGTTACGCATCTTTTGCATGACCTCAAGGTCCCTATTTCACAGCTGCCCTTACTCTTATGTGATAACAAAAGTGCTATTTTTTTGAGCTCTAACCCCGTTTCTCACAAGTGGGCCAAACATGTTGAACTAGATTATCATTTCTTTCGAGAATTTGTTATCGCTGGCAAACTTCGCACACAATATGTACCCTCTCATCTCCAAGTTGCTGACATCTTCAAAAAAAGTATTTCTCGACCTCTCTTTGAATTTTTCAGATCCAAGCTTCACGTTCGTTCAAATCCGACGCTCAGCTTGCGCGGGGGGGG